GGGAAAGAGGAGAGGAGGGAAAAAGAGCTACTCACCTTCCGTACAGACACCCTGCAAATGCAAGTATCCAGAATCCCAGTTGTGGCACTGGCACTGATTTTACACATAAATAGGAACTTTTTCTTCCAGCGGACACAGTTTGCCTGTACTACCTCCCTGCAAATAGAGAACATATGCTCAGTATCAGTTGCATATACCTTCAGGACCATAAAAATACAATAGGACAGCTCAAGAACAAACACCGGTCCCACCGTTTGTGGAGCGGTTGCTTCATACAAAACCTGATCCAAGGCCTGAATAATCACCCTTCGTTCTTTTCTTTGTGTAGCAAGACTAATAACTGTTTCAAACGACCTCGAACACAACATTAGACCTACAGAAAAATTCAACAGCCATGTGTTTTTGCAAATGAACGAGACGGTGATTTCTCCAGTTTGCCTCAGGAGAGCGAAGTCTTCCCGAACATCGGCTCCCAGGCACTGTCTTCCAAGCTGCTGAGCTTTGGAATGTGCTCAAGATACCGTCTTTGACAAGCAGTTCTTCAACACAGAGAAAGGCAGCATCACACAAGCAGAACTAGATCAATTTGAGGCCTGGAAAAGCGCAAAGGAGGTGATGTACAATAACCAGATGCAAAGTAATGCACTTGGGGCAAACAAGAATTTCAGCTACGCACTGGGAGCTCGCCGTCTGAGAGCAAAATAAGACGACTAATATCTGAACGGGTTTGTTCCTTGCAGGAGGATTACAACCTGACACTAGGATGCGGCTGAAAAAAAGGCAAAATGCAGGATGCTTTCAGCTATGTTAATGTTATTCTATAAGGCTCAAATGGACCACATGATTCTGTTTGGGTAACTCTGGTTGAGCAAGAGCAGACTCCAAAATGAACAGGTGCAGGGAGGACGACTAGAAAACTCCTGTGTCTTATAAGAAAAAAATCACATATAATAGAAATACACTAAGTAATTCAAACACGTTAGAGACCAAATAACTTTAAGTCAAATGAAAAGTGGTTAGCACCAAAATAAGGCATAGTCAAACACCCATTTAAAACTGAAAATTGCAAGGTCTCAAACCACAGAGCAAGTTTCTAGAACAGCCTTCAAATAAGAGAAGTAGGAGCAAAAAAACCCTTACTGTATTCAAAGACAAGGTTGGCCAGTTTGTCCGTAACAGGGGACGTAAGGACTGGTGATTCTGAGGGACCTGCCTCGATGACCAACAGCTCCTTTCTACTCCCGTGTTTCTAAACTCAGAACTTGGAACGGTGGGGAAACTGTGCTAATTTGTACTACCGCTCTCATCGTTCAAGTGCAGTCTTTGCATATTAAAGCAATATTTGTCCTTTTCTTTCTCCTCCATTTTTCTAATACCTACACTCCTATGTTTTATATTAACCTCCTACGGCAGCTTATTACTGAAGATCCAGTCTGACATCGTTAACAGAGGTAGAACTCTATGGTTCCACATAAGCTGGAGTCAGAGTTTATCGCCTGTGGAGAAATGATGAATCGCAAGGCTCACGCAAAGGCTCCGATTTGCTGTGCTGGTGAGACTGCCAGCTACAGCACTCCCTGGCACCGTCACTTCCTAAGGTAGGAATAAACTAGCCTGCCTAAAATGAGTCAGTTCAATGACCACAACAGACTAACGGATTCTGATGATACAACACTGAGTCATGTTCAAGCATGTGACCTAAAAGGAACGGGCTCTGTACACTGTGAGCTACCTACCTTTTATCCGTTGTGTTTTATATTGTAAACCCTCCTGTGCTTCGGAAAAAAAAGTCCCAAAGTGCCAGTATATGAGTTATTTAAATCCAAAATAGAACCTGAATTCAAAAAAGGCAAATTACTAACAGTTACATCCTCTACGGGAAACAGGCTCAAGCAAGAAGTCATCAAGGAAAATACAACCTTAAAGGGATACTTGATAACTGCTAACATTTGTTACACTTAGAAGGCCTAGGGATAACTTACGTGACAGTTGCTCCACTCTCAGGTAAAGAAAATAGTCAGCTAGATGTCCACTGTCAAGCAGAACACAGCTACCCAAGTGCATGGGTATCCGGGGTCTGCATATCTGCAGGTTTCATACACTGTGCTTAAAGACAACGCAACTTCTGAGAACGCTCTTTTTCTGCAGATCACAGTGGTCCGGCAACTTAGAAATGAAATCTCCGTAATTTATTTATTTTAAAGTTCTTTTTTTCCTAAGTACCATTTTGAGCTTATCCTAAAAACGAAAAAATAAAAGACCCTCTTCTCTCTTAAAAACACCACCACATCAAAACCAGTTTTACCTTTTTCACGAGCTGTCTAGCTACAAATTTTTGCTTCAGATAGAGAAGGGATATTTACATCACTACCTTAAGTCATTAAATTCACTGTAGTACTCTGATCCCTCTGTCAACAGTTCTGTCAGGATAGATTGAGAACGCTAGGAGCTCTTACGAAACAATGCCGATGTCCGCTTGTGAGCGCCAGAAGCAAGAGGCCTGCGTTGCTGCTGAAAGACAATAGACTTGCTCACGCCCTCAACCCCGCTGGTAGCTGCCCTAACTGTCAGGAGCTTGTTAGGCTGAAAAGACTGAACGGGAAGGTGTACTTGAATGCAGATTAACTAAGGGATATGGTTGGTCAGGACTTTCTTTCACTAAAAACATCACATTTTGGCACACTGGTAGTATTCCTTCCAAAAAAATCCAAACGCGTGGACATAAAAAAATCCCAGAATCAGATTTTATATGTAGTTTCAGCGCAGCGTACGGATCTCAGTTTTCACACACCACTATAATAAAAAAACCTCTACATTAAGAGGGTAATTACAAATGCTGTCGCCTAAACAAAGCGATTGTCGTAGCCGGCTGTCTGTTCTACCGGACTTCAAAGAGTTACTGAAATTAAACCTTACCGGAAATATCTAATCAATACTAAAATGCATACAATTATACAAACCTTTGTTAAGTTTCAAAAAGCAAGAACTCTTAACAATCCTTTGACTTAAGCTCTCTCTCTAGTCTCAGATCAAGGCGTATCAGCTACGGCCGTGAATCCACAAGGAGCCTGCACTTGCACATTGCTATGCACCCAATAATATCTGCAAAACAATCCAGCCTCAAGTGTCCTTTTGGAAACTAGAAGCAACGTAGATTTTCTGCTATTCATTACAAGCTATAAAACAATGCTACGAGACTGAAAGCGTTCACTTCGCATCCCTCCGCATAGCATCTGCCCATCATACGAGTAGGACGGTTGGCATCACCCTCACCCCCCTTCCCTCATCACCCAGGGTACCGCTGGGACTACCCATAACAGAATCGCTTCTCCTATTTGTCGTTTCACTGAGTTCTTGGAGTGTTTTTACATCTGTAACATTTCCAGTCATTAGTAATACTTCTTCCTACAAATAACGCCTGTGATTTTCTGGATGTGTCTGTAAACTCATAAGGTCAAGATAATGTACCAAAATCTTTGCACAGCTCAGTATTGTGGTTCAGGTTATGTTTCTGCTTTTCAGACCAGCTTTCCACCTCTGTGGCAAACCACAGTCAAAGCAGCTTTGCATCATACGGTTATACGCTATTCCAGATATCACTAGCATTATAGTAAAAGATAGTTTAGTGACCGTTAAATGTAGTATTTTTGCTTGTAAATACAAGACAGATGTAAGTAACATCTACTTGATAAATGTAAGTGTCCTTAAAACCTTTAAGGATCTTGAATTTATTTCAACAAACCAGTACTACTACATCATTGTTTAAGTAAGGCAGATAGCACAAAAACACTACGCTTTTGGAAGACTCAATCCACAGGTCAGGATTTATTCAGACAAATAATTTAATAAACATTAAATAGGATGATCAGGTTTTTAAGTTCTCTTAGAAACAAGAAATTAAAAGTTACAGTAAAAATGCCTCAGTTATAGATACTGATGCTCTAACTCTTATAAAAATAAAATCAGGTAAAACCAGGAATACCCCTTCCTCCTCTTAAGGACCTCAAAAAAGTGTCATTAGTTTCTTTCACTGGCACGTTGTTTTAGAAACCAAGATATTTGAAACATTTGTACATAATGTGCAAAAAAACCCCAACCAACCCCCCTCTCCCCAAACAGTTCTTCTAATTCCATTATACAAAGAAAAATTTAACATATTTTAATGAAGGTGATTTTTGCGTGAAGAAAAGCACCAGCAAGTTATTCCTCTCATGTGGAAAAGAACAAGTCAAATAATCAGAACATTGAACTTTTTAGAGCAATGTCTAAGTTTCTGAGATTCGTAGTTCAAGTGCAAGGCCTTTAGAAAACGAAGAGTTATATTGATTGGTTACTATGGAAATGAACCCAGATAACTCCTTGGCAACTGTGCCTGTGCTACAGGGCACGCTGGAGGAAGCTTTCCGTTATGAGTCAGCTTCCTATGAGCCTCACAGTCACTTTACCACATGCAAAGCAAAAACAGTTGTTTTACAAATCAAAATATATCTTAGTTACTAGGATGCATTCAAATACGTACTAGGTTGTCGTGCTTTGGTGTGACTTAACGAATGCTGTCAGTAAGACCTAACCAAGAATAAATTGAATGGACAGATATTTTAAGATAAACTGATTCCAAAGTATAGTTTAAGTTACCATCAGTTTAACAAATTAAGTGTTTTTTCTTTAGAGGGACAATTTCACACTGACTAAATTTCAAATGCGAGATTTCAGCTCTAGAGGAGTCTTTTTCTGTACGTGTTTTAGGTGCTGTACACAATTGCCATTTAGAATGATGAATAAAAGTCTTGTTTTTTCTCTTCTGATCCGCAAAAGAGAAAATCAACAAGAAAACCAACACAAAACAAACAACAAATCCTAATCCAGTCAACCCCTCATCCTAATTCGTTAACAAGTGATGGACTCGTTTTTTTTTCTTTTGAAGGTGTTTGTGACCAGCAGACAGTTTGTTCATTTCCACAGGGATAAAGGATGTGAATAATGGCTTGTTTCAGCAAATAGCCACAACTGCAAAAATAAATCACTTTTAAGGACCTTAAGTGTCATGGGAAAAATCCCTTCTTGCCAAATGGAAAAGCTTTAGCATGAGAGGCTTAGAGATAAAGAAGCCCAAACTCCTTGTTTCCACAGCATTTACCAAAATACTGTGTTCCATTAGTTAGAAAATTGTTTATTCAAGTTTTTATCTGAATTATTCTAGACAGCCAATTATGACATTGAGCCATACAGGGATGATCATGTTAAACGGATTGTTTTTCTAGTGCAATTATTTTAGAACCATTGGTCACCAAAGAGACAACAAATTGTGAGCATTTGTTTTCAGTTTTAAGATGCCATTCAGTCTTCATACCAGACTACTTTCACATGAAACTACTTCTAGAAATAGTTTTGGAGTCAATTGGCTCAGTACGCTTCTTTATGTTAAGGAAAGGGGTGTTTGCTTAGGCATCTGACAGCTTTTGTACGGAACACGAGTTACCTGCTCTCTATAAATACCTTGAAAAAATAGGGCTTTCAATTCCACGAGATAAATGGGAATATTATTGTTATAATTATTATTTTTTAAAGCTGGTAGTTTGATGGGAGGGTTGCTTTGGACTTCTAAGAATTGTTGAGGCCAGGTTCTTAAAGTCCAAAGTACAGTGAATAAAATGCCTGTAGAGGAGTTATCTCTGAACGAGTGCAACTTTTCCAATATTGCCTAAGTTTTGCTTGCTTCTTTTAGGGGAAAATATGTCGCGTTGATGAGACGGCGCAAGAGAATTGAGGCTGCTGCAGCTCCACTCCCCAGATCCAACCAGCAGCGAGGCTGAAGATGCATTCCGGGTAAGCCCCCCCCCCCCAGACCACACTTACACAGCCGGACACACAGGTCACAGAAACACAGAGCACTGGCAGGGACAGCCAGCACCAACAGCCTCACCCCACTCCCCTCTCGGGCTGAACAGGACAGAGGTCTGCAAGCAAGACCCATATATATATATGTATATATATATGGCTCCCAGGCTACACCACCTACTCGACAGCTAGTCGGGCTTGATCCCCGGTAGCGTTTATGCGCTCGCACACCTGCACTCGCTCCAGGTGCTGGCACCACGGGCACACGGGTCTCCGACTCCTGGTGCCACCCCAGCGGCTGGCACTTAGTTTCACTCATCTGGCCTCTCTGGTTGCCGGCACCCAGGCACAGGGGTGCGCTGGCCCCCGATCCCAGGCCAGTTGCTGGCACGAAGACTCTCACTCACGCCAGTTGCTGGCACGACGGACGCACAGGCCCCTGTGACCCACAGTCCCGCCCCGTGGCTGGCACTTAAGTCCGCTCCCTCAGGTCTCTCCTGTTGCTGACACCAGAGACACCCGGGCCCTCCGATGAAGAGCCTGACTCCAGTTGCTGGCACTCAGACCCCCCCCGTACACACGGAAGAAAGAGCCCTTACACCCAGGAAGGAGTTAGAAAGTCGTTTAATATGAAGATACGATAGACTGCGCTGACTAGGAACAGGGCATGGCCAGACAAATGTGCCAACCAGCAAACTATTTATGCCTAACTGGCCTTTTGATCCCCTTACCTCTCTATTTTACCCACAGTTGTTCCTCCCCAAATCACCTGAATTCATCCCTTCCTCCACCTTTAGTTCCTCCCCTAAACATCCCATAATAAGCCTCTTCCCCTGCATCCCATGATGTGTCTCATAGCGCTATGCAGCAGCTCCCTTCAGTCCAAAAGGTGCTTTAGTGTTGGCTCAACGCGATGGGTTTCCTGCCCGGACCGCGGGGCCGAGGCCCTCCGGGGACAGCCCTGGGAGGGCCCCGGACAGGGTGTCCCCTTGTCCAAGTCCATGATTTCAGTTCCCCACCTGCCTCTGTGTCCCTGGGCTTGTGTAGATGGGCCTTTGATGGGCTGATGGCTCCTGTGACAGGCCCGGGAGTAGCTGGGGCGGGTATTATTTTAGGCCCCCCACCCTCCCTGCCTTTGTTTCCTGGGCTGGTTTGTGGGTGTGCATTAGGCGCTGTTATCGCCTAACCTAACAGCTTCCTTTGATCAACCCCTGGCTGAATAAACGCAGTACAGTTAGCTCTGTCCTTCTGATACAAATAGTGTTTAGTAGATTGGAGTAACACCATTATTTTTAGTGTAGGAAATAGTCTTTTAAAATGGGAACAATATCCCATTCACATATATATCTTTTATATATATATACACTTTTTTAATACATATCTCTCTCTCTAAAAAACCAAACATCTTTCTTCTGCAGAATGCCAGAGCACCTAACAAAGAATGCCAATGTCATTCCCACCAGAGACAGGCATGAAGGCATTAGCCTATAATCTAACAGTTTGTCAGCCACACTTTCAGCGTCCGCAGTGGTTCAGGTCCTTTACAGTAAGATTTGACCTTTCCTCGGCTATCTTCAGCATTAGGAAGGCATTGTTGGATATAGAGTTCTCATTTATACTAGGGAACACGTAATGGTTTGGCATGCAAGAGAAGAATACCCTCTTGCACCCCTCTTACCCAAAATGTACTTCCCATTTCAAATTTGTGCGGTCTCACAGTCGAGGGAAAGATATAGGTACCCGTGCAACAGGCGCCCAGAGCGACTGAGTGGCTGTCTTGTCAGTCCACTTTCAAGCAAAACATTGTGCCCTGCTGTTCAGCCTCCCAAGATCTGCCAAGCGGCTTAGTATTTGTAAAGCATTAAGATCCTCAGAAGAAAATTACTCTTACTACACGGAAATGTAGCCTTGTTTGGTTTAGATCCACACAGCTGAAGTGTCCAACAATATGGTTTGCACGTCTTTTCTTTTAGTATCTCCGGTGTACACACAAACATAAACAAGATCACCCGACAGAGAGATCCCTCACTTTCAAATTAAACTGAAGTCCTTACTGCTAAGTTGATAGTGGGAGTAGAAACAAACACAAATAGACAAATACAAAATTAACACAGGTATTTTAAAGCAAATAAGAAGAGATCTAGCACTAACACCAGAACCAATTTTATTCAAATGTATTCTATGTGTCTAATACCCATAACTTAATATACACATAACACGTGCTGCCCATGCACGTACCAATTCCAACCTCATCATCTTTAAAGAACGTTGAGCTACAAAGGAACAAAAAACACTCAGTATAACTTTTCAAATACCAAGCTCTACTTTAAATAGTTAAGTTGTCAAATAACCAGAATGCTAAATTTAGTCTTTATATAGAATGATGCATCTCTTGAAGTTCGAGCTCAGAGCGTGGTCTCCAAAGTACACACTGTAGTAATAAACTTACGCAAAGCTTCAATTTATTTCCTGTATTCAGGAAGAAATACAGTTTACTTTTCCTTTAATATTCTGTTTCCTCCATGCCTGAGTCGTATAAGAAATACATTCTCTCCAACAAAAACATTTTTTCCTAAGCATTGCAAAAAAACCCAACAAAACCAGTCATTTACAAACAGAGCTTCAATGTTTCGCAAATTTCAGCACTAAGCAAACGAGCAAACAGCTGGCTCTGCAGGAAGAGCTCCACTTGTTTACAGTGCACAGCTCCCCGGTTAATTTGCTGTTAGTACATGCAAAACTTTAACAGAGCAATCATTTTCTATTCCACATGTTTTTACTCATAATAAACAGGTTAAATCTTTAACTAGCAACATTTCATGTCAAGTATTTCTTATAAAATCTGTGTAAGCTGATCATCACATGGAAGTAGAGCTGCTTTGGAATACTTTTATATATGAAAAACGGCTGGTTACAGACAAATGCAGAGACGTAAAGTGAATGAGCACCGTGAAGGGCAAACTGCATTAGCAAGACTGTAGCCAGCAGTTCAAAGGAAGCGATTGTTCCCCTCTGTTGAACATCTGTGAGGCTGTATCTGCAGCACTGCGCCCGTTTTTGGGGCCCTCCCGGTAGAAGTAAGACACTGATAAACCAAAACAAGTCCAGGGGGTGTGAGATGAGGGTCTGGAGTCAGGGATGAGGAGGATGAAGCACCTGATGCAGGAGGAGAAGTTGGGAACATGGGATTTTTACAGTCTGAAGAAGAGGTGAAGGAAGATCTAATTGCTACCTTCAGCCATCTCTATTGAGTTAGAGAGAAGATGGAGCCAGACATTTCTTAGTGGGGAGTGGAGAAAGGAAAAGCAGTAACAAGAGAAATTCCAATAAAATAAGGGAAAAAAACGTTCACAATAAAAGCGGTGAAGCAGAGGGGCAGGTTGTCTGCAGAGACCAGAATCCCCGTTCTTACAGGTTTTCTAAAGTTGACAGGACAAAGCTCTGAGCTCCCTGATCTAACTGAAGTTAGTCTTGCTCTGAGGCTGGACTACATGATCTCTAATACTCCCCTCACCCTAAACTATTCCATGAACAGAAATAGTCCTTACAATATGAAGGCAATCAGGTGCTACGGTGCTTGCAAATGGCAAGTTTATGACAGCAAATTACCGTGCTCCATGTACTGTGCTGGGGTCGGGGGGGAAAACCCCCACCACCAGCTCTTTTAAACCAAAGTGCCTATTCTCCCACACAAGGCGGACATATTAAGCATAAAAGCTCCCCGCCCCCTTTAACAGATGCCCATCATGCATCTCTTTTCAGCTTTTTCCTGAAAAGCTAGCTGTCGCTGTATCTCTTACAGCACTTAGAGTAACAAAAGTCTCACAAGAATGAGCCCTTTTCATAGCTGCAATAACAGTTACATCCCATGCAAAACGCAGTCTGTACATTTTCTTATCTCCTACGGTAGCCCAAAGATGACGCCTCAGATCTGATTTTATTTTCTTTACTCCTTTGATTAATCCTTTGATTTTCCTCCAGTCTGTTTCAGAGATTTGATTTCTTCATCCCTCTTATTTCCACACTGTTACTCTTCCACCTTTATACATGGACTCTTCCGTTAATATTTTAGCCTTCGTTTCCTCCCCTTCAGCCCTGTCCAGAATATCCACACCAATCCTTGTACATCCTGTTACCTTCCCCAAGCATATTCTCTAAGTCTGTTGACTAAACCCGTTTTATTATCACTACTAATGAAAGGCTAAAGAGGTACGAAGAAACTACATTTAACAAAAAAAAAGTTATAATTTGTGTAGAGAACTTCCCCTTCTTACTTCTCCCTCTCTACAGAGGGACAGGGCCTGGAAGCTCTTCGACCCACAGTCTCACAACTGAGAAAACACTAAGTGGACATTTGGGAATCTGAAAAGAGCAGCTACAAAATGGCAAGGCAGGATTTTTATCCCACCGCCGATTTGCCTCACAGTACTTGAAAACTCACTTTGTTTCAGTTTATCCAACTGCAAATCCGGTTACAGCTGAAAAGCTCTCAGGAGTAGCATTATCCCTTACCAACTGTGAAGGCTGTCAACAGGATTCATAGATCACGCAGGAAGGTGAGAGCAATAGGGACAGTCATTCCATGTGACCGGTAGGCTTTTCTAACAAGTATTTTGTTTAAAAACAGAAAGCTGGTTAAGCTGTGTTACTATCAGGAGAAGTTTTCCCTTTCAGATGCAGTAGCAGCAACAGAGAAAACCATGGTTAAAAAGCAATTTGAAGAGTCCAGTGAGGCAGCAAATGTACTTGCTGGGGTCACAAAACCCAGACGTAGTTTTGGGCCGTCGAGAAGGAGGTAGCTAAGCATCACTTAGATCGCTTAGATACTAAGCATCTGTAAGAAGTACTTCTTACCTGGAAGATAGATCAATTTCTACAGAAGGCAATTACATACTCTCGCCTGTATCTATTAGGAGTAAGAATATGTTCATGCAAGTAATGCAACATCCCTGAGACTGCCTCTCAGGACTCAAGAACGTGCTGTACATAAAAAAAAACTTCCCTGGAATCTGTTGGAGAATAAAACGTTTTGATGAAAAAGTTACAGTTCTCAGCCGCCCCTAATCTGTCTGTCACCCAGATACCGATGATAATCAGCTTCTTAGTTTTGAATGTGGTTTTGTAGAAGAAGGGAGAGAGAAACACCAGCAGTCTGAAGCGTCAGAAATCAGATCTCAAAGGCAGGGGAATATGACCAAACCGAAGACCGCAGTCGTAAGAACGCACCAACCGAGAAGTCCTTTCCTTGAGTGGGGTGCGGGTGGAAAGCGAGCTAAAACTGTGACTACCAGGCTTAGAGCTACTGTAGCCTCAGTCTGTACAGTACAGTGTTGAAAGTACACCCTCAAGAAAGAAGATCCTTTACTTTCCAAAACTTCTTTGATTTCCTCATATCCCATCTGTTCTTTTGCTGCAGCTTGAGCAACAACTCAGCCTATGAGCAGTTATCTACTCTAGGGGCCCATCAATTATTTCTTCAGCCTATTAAAATGAGGGCAGTTGCAGACAGCCTGTACTTTCAATATATTTGTCTGCATTAGGCTAGCCTTGAATAAATATGCTTAGTCTTTAGTCAAGTCTATTCTTTAAAATAGTATTTTTCTGTTCAAAGTATTCATAGGTGTAATTTCTGCCCTGGAATGATCTTCTGTCCTTTCACGGTGCAATAGACATTATGTGCACAATATTTCATGACCAGACAGTGCATATCCTGGAATCTGCACAAGTATCGCGTATTAACATATCCAAGTTCAAAGAGAGATCTCTGTTATCATTGGCCCAGGGAAAAACAGAAATGGGAGAGACACCTGTCCACGTAGGGAGCCAGGCTTAAGCTAGAACATTTTCTAAATGAAAATGAGGTTTGTTAGCGTAACTTCGCATACATCCACAGTCTCTTTGCTGAAAATCCACCCTTTGTTATAAAATCTAACAAGACTGTTGTAAAGATCCAGAAGTTCTATTAGAAAGCCATTCCAAAAAGGGGAGGGTGGAATTACACTGTATGGTGGATTGGCAGTTTCCTAAAACAACCACACAAAACCTCCGCCCTCCCACAACTCCCCTGGAGGTTTTCCATGTTGTAGAGTCAAAGCTCATAACCCATTCATTCTCCCCAGAATTCCAGGGTCCTGTTCTGGCACAGGCACTCAGACCTGTTTAAACCCCCCAGGTTTAAACACTGCTACTACTTGGCTGTTCGATGCCCTTTGATCAAAATATTATTTGACAGTACCAGATTACTTTAAAAAGTTGAATATTTTGTCAGGTAATTAAGCATTTAGCATTATAATACAGAATTTTCTTTTTCTACAGCAAATATTCACAAATATGCATAGGGAGGTTTCAAATAGAAGTTGTCAAATTGGAGTTCTAAAAAACTACATGCAAACACAAAAAAAGAGAGTGATGTGTAAACAGTTAATACGGTTGCTATTTATAGACAAATCAGATCGCGGTTTACTGCACTATACAAGCTGGTTTTATCTGGTCACAGAATTTCTATACGCTTCAGGCACACGTCTGCATCAGCCAGAAAAGTACTTGGACTGACAACAAGTCTCCAACACCACGGACCGTGTCTTCATAACCTATTTCTTACGTATCTCTTTCTCAGTAAAGATCTGAAAAGTGAAAAAAATATTTTTCGGTAGCTTGAACTTTCACCTGTCTTCTTTTTGTCCCACACCTCATCGTTCGGGGGATGGTCTAGGTACCACCTCGCTTGCAGGATCAGGCCGTTAATCATTCACACAGGGACGCAAAGAAGACCGCTTGCGTCTGTTTTCGTTACAGCTCACTACGTATAGGCCTTTATTCCAGTGCTGCCAGCATGTGTTTTTGTGACATTTCTTTCTCAGTGAGTAAGCTTTGGAAAGAAAATGCTCATAACGTTAGGCTGGTTTACAGCTTGTTGATACGGCTGCCTGTTATTTATTTATGGCAAGAGGCAGCAGGGTATTGGTTTGTACCAGTACCGGCTTAAGAACTTAATTCTCAATAACTTCTCCCCCGAAAATGATAGTTTTCCCTCAGTCAGTAACAAAAATAAAAGCTATTAAGAAGACATGGTCAGTTTTTCCACATATTACACAGTATTTGAGATGAGTTTGTATATTACTTTCTGAAACACAATGGAGTTCTTCAAACTTCTTTTATAGCGCTACAAAGATCACTACTTTAAAGATACGACTCCCAGCTCACACTGAAACTAAGGAACGCACGCAACTGGAAGACGATGGCCATTAGAAAGAGTTTGCAACTGACAACTTTTGAAATGCTGCCACTCTGATGTTAACTTAATTTCTTCCTTATTTATTCAGACCCTTGCTGAATCACCGCTGTGAAAATCCATCTGTTAATTCTTAAGCCAAGAGCAAAGGCACTCCCTAAATTGGCACTGAAGGATCACTGCAGAGGAATTCTTTACCTTCCTACCAGCATACCTCAGCGCTT